GGGGGGGGCGGGGAGAAGGAAGAGAGAAAACTACCTAGAATTACTTCATCAGTAAAAACACAGGGTTATGCAGAGCTGTGTAATTCAGTAAAGAGCATAATGAGTATTTCCCAATATCCCCGTTACAGCAATTAACTCTCACTGCATCAAATAATTTAAAAACTCTGCTCGTTGAAGGAAATACAATTTAAATGCTTAAAAAGTAAGGGCATATGAAGTAAAGGCTGACCTGTTTAAATCAAAACTAAAGGAACTGATGCAAGTGTTATAAAAAAATCGAGTATCTACCTGTAGCAAACGTGTTGTGGACATTATGGAAAGAAATCGCATTAACTGGATAAATCTGCTCAATGTTATTTTCTTTCAAACGGTGACATTTGAATGCATATTTCTTCTTCTGGATTTCTGGACTTGGATCCAAGTATTCCACCGCAACACGGCCTTCAATAGAACTTAAAACATAACCCTACCAAAAAAATTTGGAGGTAAACATTTTCAAAGTTTACAACTGGAGAAGAGATTGCAATACAATTTACCTTATACCCCTCTAATTCAAATAAATGAAATGTAAAAAGTCGTAAACTGTGTACAACCAGAAATTGTTACCACTGATCCATGGCATCATCAACAAAATCTGCTTCTACAAAGGCAGTAATACAGAAAAAAAGCTGAGAGATTCTCATTCCACTATAGTTTTAAAGCTGACAGCGAGGCTTTTAATTACCCCCTGCAGATCCAAACATGGGACATAAATATCCCAAATATTAGAGATACTCACGGGACTATTTAGTTTCAGAATTACAGTAATATTAGTTCAGAGCATTATACCAGCAACTAAACACTCAAGTTGAAATAGTATTTTCAGTGAAACTTGATTATAAGTGGTGTCCACTTATCCAGTTAATTACAGCCCTGACTTAGAGCAACCCGAGATGCTTATTATAACTTCCAAGTTAAGCCCACAATAGACCTTTTCAGAAGTAGGACTGTAATGATATCTAGCTATAGCAAGGTTCTCTAAAATCCATAACACAATACAATCTGGAAGATCAGCTTGTTTTACTATAACTAGAACTGAAAATGGACAAAGCATTCATGCCAGTTCAAGAAAAAGTAACTAGGTCTTGCAATTCCTGTACTATCACTATGTACACAGGAAAACTCCCTTCCAAATTAGTTTGTCAGAAAAAGCTAATCTTCTTGCTTCACTTCAGAAAGTGTATCTGTGGTATTTCTCTATGTTAACCCACACAGAACAGCTGTATGATCATCAAAATTGTACAATCCCCCCCCTAGATAATGGATCATGGGTTCTTGAGTGCATGACACAGACTCAGGGTTTAAAAAAAAAATATAAAATTACATTCATATAGTTTTAATGCTGCCCCAGTTCACAGCCTGTTGAAGAACCTAGGGCTACAATGCATAAAGGCTGCTGAGTGACTGCCAATTCTGTCTTCCTCTCTTCTACTGCAACTTTGGGCAATCAGTGTTTGTTTTGCTATTTAACCACACATCATTGTGATGCATTAAATAGGTTATTTTTTAAAAGAAGACAACACAAGAAAAAAAAACAAACATAACATGCTAGTATGTCAGTGGCAAACATTCCTAAGCTTCACTATTAAAATCAACCTGGAACAAGGAGCCTCAACACCTTTTTTTTCCCCCCTCTTCCCAGCATTTGATTATGAAACTTTGAAGACTAGAAAATTTTTAAAATGAGAGAAATATCCAGAAAACTTGAAAAATAAACTACCATTTTTCCCTCAAGAA